GCGGCCACAGGAGGTGGGGACCCCTCCCGCGACTTGTGCTGGCATCCCGGGCCTTCCCGCTGCGCCCCGGCGGCCCGCTCGGGCTCGGTGTGCGGGAACAACTGTGCATGCCCGTGCCTCCGTGGTTCCAGACCTTGCCTGTCGTGCCTTTTGCCTGGCGCCTCTATGGCGCAGAGCTTTCGACTTTGCCACCGTTTAAATAATAAGCCTGCACTTTCTCCCAGTCCAGCGCCCAGCAGAAACGACCCTGGCCCGGTCTTTTCCATGGGGTCCTGCCTTCCAGGGCCTCGTAGGATAACGCGTGCAGTGCCCCTCAGTTCGGATCCAGAACGGATCATGCGGCGCTGGGTTCATTTTGGTTATACTTGCCACTTAGGGTAGCCCCTACGTGGCTGTTTTACTGAGTTTTTAATGTCGGTTGTGCTTTCGGCTGCTGGCGTTTCCCTTGGGAGTGATTCATCTGAATTATTTCTACAGAAATAGGTTTTTTTTTATTCCTCTCCCTTCTTTGGCAATTTCACATAATATATATTTGTATGGGGAATGCACTTGTTTTAGCAGTTTGTACGGAATAATAACGCGTATATTTTATGCAGTTTGTACTTTTAGACTTGATTCTAGAGTTGTCATCGAGTTTGATTTGTTGCTTCTGACCAGCAGAGCTGGATTGTCACTAACGTAGATTTTAATCTTTTGAAGTCATTTGGAAGTCTTTATCCACCAGCCTGGCACGCGCAGAGACCGTGCAGTGCAGTTCCACACGAGTCCAGAACAGCAGGGAAACACGAAGTAGCGTAAGATGGCTGGGTCTGGTCAGCAGGTCTGTGACCACAGCTGCTGGGGAGGCCGAGACAAGAGGATCTTGTTCAACGCCCACCTGAGCTACAGAGTTCAAGGGCTGCCTGGGCAAGTTAGTGAGCCGTTGACTCTAAGAAATAAAAAGAGGGCCGTGGATGTTCAGTAGTGGGGTGCTTGCCCCGGCATGCTCAAGACCTGGGTTCACTCTGGTACTGAAAAAGAGAGGTAGCTTAAGATTAGGCGAGGTTGGTCAGTCCACCTGGTAATGGAAGGAAGAGTCCTGCCTCTTGTTTGAATGTCCCATCTCACTCACACACCCCTCCCCCCCCCCACCGAGCCAGGAAGGTGTTTCCACCTGAGAGGATTTATAAGCTGTGAATTTTAACTCTTTGTTACAGGCTTGGGAATTTTCCTTCAGTTTGCTGTTGCAGGGAATAACTTCTCTTCCTGCTTCTGCCTCTAATTCTGCCTCTAAATCCTCTCCAGGATGCTTTTTCAATAGCCGCTTTCCCAGCCAAGCTTCTCCTTGACAGGCGTCTAGTATAGAACCATCAAAGTATATACTAGGCATTACCACTCTGCTTTCTGTTAGAGGTCATCCTGCTGTCCTGCCAAGCCTTGTGTAGAAGGGAGTTAGCAGTGGGCCAGAACCAACTGTCCTTAGGCCTGCTTAAGGCTTGACCCTGGGCTGTTATCTAAAAACTTGAATTGTGGTGTGTTTCCACTGTCCTCGAACTGGTGACTTACTGTGACCAAATTTTCTGTGGTCTACCTGTACATAGGTCTTTGGAAGGCAGGCGTTTGGGGCTGGAGTATAGTGGGGAAGGGAGCTCCCATACTTGGGACTCTTCTAGACCCCCCACTTGCCCGGTGTGTCTTTTCACTTGACTTTTTATTTGTACTTACAATTCTTTGCAGTTACCAACCCTTGCATGCAAGTGAATGATTTTCCTAAGTTGTGTGAGTTGCTGTAGAATATTAACTGTGACCAGAAAAGCCGTTTTGGGAACCTTGATTTATAGCCAGTTGATCAAAGTCCCTGGTCTGCAGCTGGCGTCTGAAGCTGGGCAGTCAGGGCCTGAACCCTCATCCCGTTGAATCCGACTCCGAGTAGATAGTGTCACCATGGAAGGGTGCGCACCCAGTTGGTGTTCGCTGGAGGATTGTTACGGGTGGAGGTGTTCGCTGAATAGTGTTGAGTGGTTTGTCCTGTCTATAATTGGAGCTAAATCTCGGATGTACTGGGAGTTCATTGAGATCTGGGCTTTGGTTTGAATTGGTTGTGGTTGTAGGCGTGGTCTTACTTCGAAGGCCCCATTTCCTAACATGCAGCCAAGTGAGTTTCCCCAGATGCATCCCAGGGTTCTGGGTTGCCTTGGTTTCTGCTGTGGCCTGTAGTGTAGAGGGCTCCACCAGCTGGGACCGTCTGGACAGTGTGCATGCACTTCTTTTCCTGTTTACAGAAGGGGAACACACAGGCTTGCCTGGTTGCACTGATGACCGCCGTTCTCTGCTTCCTGCAGGCATTACCAATGTAAAAGTTCCTCCCAAAATGATTGATACCAAAGGAGGCTTCATTTTAGAAGAAGAGGAAGAAGAGGAACAGAAGATTGTAAATGTTGTTCATGAACCAGGTAAAGCATAGTTTTCCCACAAAAGTAGTATTGACAATGGTTATTCATAGTAACATAAAGAATTCTTTGCACTTTGATCAATGGGAAGATTGGTGGTAGATTTAAAAAGTCAGAGCCCGGAGGAGGTGGGGAGGAACTGGGAGGAGGAGAGGGAGGAGAAACTGTAATCAGGATGTATTGTATGATTAATCTATTTTCAATAACGGGGAAAATACAACTATATATATATATATCTCTCTATATGTATTTATCAGTTTGCAATTAGAACTTTTATATATGCTTCCTTTTCATGGTAGAACATACGCTTACACATGCAGTTACTTGATCATAGAGTAATATGAAGTTTAATTTTATGAAGCACTTCAAGATAGTTTTACGCAGATTCATAATTTCAAACTCTCTTTAGTAATATAGGAGAGGGCTGGCTTCTCCACATCCTGGTGACAGGTGTCCTATCGGTCTCTTTGGTCGTATTATCCCATGTGATTCAATAGCATGCTACAGGTTTGAATTGTGTACACGGGAGGCTAATGGTGTTGAGCTCGCTACAGGTTTGAACTGTGTACACGGGATGCTAGTGGTGCTGAGTATCCTTTTAAGTATTTGTTGTCCATTTTAAATTTTGGAGCAATATTTATTCAAAACTTCTGTATGATTTTAAATTAAGCTGTTTATCTTTTAATGCTGGTAAGAAGCTGTATAAATTCTAAATACAGTCTTCCTGTCAGCTTCAGCATATAAATGGTTCGCTCTTCATTTTCTCTTAGCTCAGGGTATGTTTGGATTGACTTCATATTCTTTGAAGAGGATTTTGTTTGTAACATTAGCAAAGTCCAATTAAAATACCTCCCCTTTGCAGAGAGAGCGAGCGAGAGAGAGAGAACATTTCATACTTCACGATTTATGTACAATTTTACTTCTATTCTCTGAGGTAGACAGTTTATATTTTGGGGGCTTGTTAAGCTGTAAAACGCATACACACATATACATATGTATATATATAATATATTGATTTTGTTTTTTTGAGACAGGATTTCTCTGTGTAGCTTGGAGCTTGTCCTGGAACTAGCTCTGTAGACCAGGCTGGCCTCAAACCCACACAGTTCCACCTACCTCCGTCTCCCAAGTGCTAGGATTAAAGACGTTAATGTGTAGTTTTAAATGATACTCCTCATGATAAAATTCCTAAGAACTTTATTTTCTTATGTAATTCTTTATTTGTTCATCAGTATGGCATTACATTTCTTAAATGTGTTCATTAACAACAACAACAAAGTCCAACGCCCAGGCACTTAGGGACAGTCGGTTTGTGTATGACATTTGCTGTTGTTTTATCATAGGCAGGGAGAGCCCAGATCCTGATGGATGGAATCAATTTTCAGAAGTATTTTCATGAGCTGGACACAGTATTTCTTGGGAGGCTAAAGCAGGATGATTACTTGAATTTATAAGTTTGAGGCTAGCCTGGTAAGGTCTGGTGGCACACATCTTTAATCCCAGCAGGTGGATCTTTGGGAGTCTGAGGCCTGCCTGGTTTCCATAGAGAGTTCCAGACCAGCCGGAGCAACTAAGTGAGACTCTGTCTCAAAGGAAAGAGGAAAAAGAAAAAGGCAGACCAGGCTGGCAGATAAATTAAAGCCCTGTTCTCGTTTCATTCTTGTTGTGAGAAACACCCTGACAAAAAGCCATGTGAGGGAGGAATCCAGATTGCAGTCCGCCATTGAGGGGACTTTAAGGCAGGAACTTGAGCGGCTAGTCACCCACCCAAGTGAAGAGCTAAGAGAAACAGATGTACCCATGCTGCCTGCTTGCCTAACGCTCCCCTAGCTTACAGGCAAAGTCTCCAGCCCAGGGAATGGTGCCACCCCCAGTGGCTGTGGCCTTCCCACGTGAATTAGAAGTTAAGATAGCAAGCACAGACAGGCCACTGCCAACCAGATCTTAGCAGCTCCTCAGTTCAGGCTCTTGTCTCTGGTGATTTTAGGTTGTGGCAGGTTGACAATTAAAAACTTAACAAATCCCATCTTAAAAAAAACGAAAATAGTACCAATAAAAAAATAAAAATAAAAAGAGATGTAAGAGAGATTGTGTTACAGGTAAAATGAGAAGCCAGTACCCATGAGATAAAACTTGGGACATTTTTTTTTTTTAATTTAGAGATGAACTAGAAAGAGGGCTGTGAACTTGCCACATGGGATTAACGTGTTGGTAAATCAGTTATATATACACACTCTCTCAGCTGCCATACGGGGTAACGTGTTGGTGGATAGTGATGTATACATTCTCTCAGCTGCAAATGCTTTCGCATGTGGCAGAGATGAAGGTTTGAGATCCGAAAGCGTCGGAGCTGGAAAACCCCGCTGTAGCCATTGGCTGTGGCATGAGAAGTGTGCCCGGGGTGGTGAGCAGCGCCTGCTAGTGTGTCTAGGGGTAGCACGTTTGTGTTTCTTTTTTTTTTTTTAAGAACTTTTTTATGATTTATTTATCTTTATTTTATGTGCATTGGTGTGAAGGTGTCAGATCCCCTGGAACTGGATTTTCAGACAGTTGTGAGCTGCCATGTGGGTGCTGGGAACTGAACCCGGGTCCTCTGGAAGAGCAGTCAGTGCTCTTAACCGCTGAGCCATTTCTCCAGTCCCCACGTTTGTGTTTCTACTGCATGTAGGCAGACATGTAGTCTTACAGTTGACACATGGGAGACAGTTGTCCAAACTGGGTGTCCTAACTGAGGAACCCTTCCAGTAGCCTGCAAGGCCAGAAGTGCTCTCTTGGGTTAAAGAAGACACATCCACTGGGATTCTGTTTGGGGAGCAGGGAAGTGCCAGCCCCATGTAATAGGGGCTGGTTGAGAGCCTGCCTTGCTGCCAAGACTAAGACATGCTTATTGTCTCAGTGAAAATAGGGCCCTGGTTCTGGTGATATGAAAGAATTCAAGTAATAAAACAGTAGCAAACGTGAAAGCTTACTAAAGGACAGAACAGAGGGGCATCCTGAGCCTTAGGTTCCTGCTGGTTGAAGCTGCAGAAACTGGGCCCAGTTTTAAAATTGCGTTCTTTATAGAGGGAAGACACCTAAAAGCCCCGTGTCTGTATCAGCTGTGGTGGGAGATGTGTTCTGAGGCTCCCGAACTCTAGGCGTTCTTCACCACTCCTGTCCGGCTGGTGACTCACGCTGTCCCCTCGCAGCCTAGAAGCTCTGACCATGTTAGTAATTTTAGGGTGGCTGTCCACCAGAGCCTGCGATGGGGATACCCTGGTCCTTGCTACCTGTGGGACAAACAGCCGGGAGGCCATTGGTAGTGGTGACAGGTGCTGAGCTGAAGGCTGATAGTCCTGGCACATGCTGTCTGGAACTTGGTGGCTTGTTAGTAGGGCACATGACTACAAGATGAATGTGAACCATCTTATGCCAGAAAATATGTAAGTGTTCTGAATTGCTGGAGGCATACTACAGTGACTTAGGAGGCACCAGCTAAATTCGAGACAGTGAGCACACCAAAGTAATGAAGGACAGTAATGAAACATTTTTTTTAAAAAAACCATTAAAAAATAGAGACTAGGCTGGAGAGATGGCTCAGTGGTTAAGAGCTCTGGCTGCTTTTCCAGAGGTCCTGAGTTCAATTCCCATTTGCCACATGGTAATTCCAACTATCTGTAATGAGATCTGGTGCCCTCTTCTGACCTGTGGCAAAACACTGTATATATAATAAATACATCTATAAAGAGAGAGACAGAGACAGACAGACAGATCTTGGCACACGTCTTTAATCCCAGCACTCGGGAGGCAGAGGCAGGTGGATCTCTGAGTTCAAGACCAGCCTGGTCTACCTAGCAAATTTCTTTTCTCTTCTTTCTCTTCTCTTCTCTTCTCTTCTCTTCTCTTCTCTTCTCTTCTCTTCTCTTCTCTTCTCTTCTCTTCTTTTGGTTTTTCGAGACTGGGTTTTGCTGTAGTTTTAGAGCCTGTCCTAGATCTAGCTTTTGTAGATCAGGCTGGCCTCGAACTCACAGAGATCCGCCTGCCTCTGCCTCCCAAGTGCTGGGATTAAAGGCGTGCGCCACCACCGCCCAGCATAAAGAGCCATTTCTTTTAAGAGCTTGGAGATTAGTGGAGTTAAAGGGTGGTGGGATCTTGACAGACCCAAGGAAGGCAGTGCCAGGAGTGTGTCTCCCACTGTGGAGTCTTTGGAGCTGGGGCTGGGCAGTGGCAGTCATCCCACAGACCTTCTAGTGGGGCTTAGATTTGCCCGAGGACCATTAGAATTAAGGTCTTTGTGAGACATTGAAGTCTAATCCCTTACAGAACCCAGCTTCACCTTGCCAGGGGCAGCTCTGTGTGGGGTGCTGAGGGATGCAGGACTCAGTGATTCTCCCTCAAGAAGTTTATAATCCAGGAGGCGACACAGTAAAGTGCAAGCCTTTGCTTAGTTGACAGCGTGGAATGAAAGAAAAATAATGTCCCCGAATGAGGACGTGCTGCTTTGCTCTCTATGACTTTATTGCTCAGGGGGTTGGTGGCCTCTTTCTCTCTGTAAGTAGATGCCTCCCCTCCCCAATCCTGGGGCGAATCTTCTTTATACTTTCAGCAGTGCCAAAGCTGGCAGAATAAAAGCCCCCAAAGATGTCCATATGCTAATTGCCTTGGAGCCTGTATACTTTACATAGAGGAGACTTTGTAGAGAAGTTTAAAGTTAAAGACCTTGAAATGGGGAGATCACCATTATCCTGGGGAGTCTGGTGTAATCAGGGCTCGGAGGGCTGGGCTTGCAGAGGAAACCAGTGATGGGGTGTGAAGCTCTTCCTGGTCCTGAAGATGGTAGGTGGGGAGGAATACAGGCAGCCTCTAGAAGTCGAAATGCCCCCAGGAAGGAACAGAACCCTGAAGACAACGTGAATTTGACCCAGTGGGCCTCCCTGGGCTACCAAACCCCAGATTAGTGAGGTGTCAGATGTAAGTGCCAGCACTTACCGGGCCAAGGTTACCTCATGAGAAGCGAATCTTACGTGGGCTAGGATGGAGGGGTCCCAGCAGGACAGAGACTGAGACTGAGACAAGTTTGTTCCAAGCAATCAGACTTCTTATCCCTTATCAGAAGCAGAATACAGTGGCGGTTGCTGGGATACTATGATGTTTGCAAGCTATACAGGGTATACAACATTAATGTTAGCCAAGCGTCTATATACTTCCCTGATTTCTAGGGAACACAGTTGACCTGAAGGCCTCACCGCCTCAGTGGTGCCCCAGTCGCTCAGGAACTGGAAGGCACATTGTGCCCCAGGAGCCACAGACTAACTTGACAAACTTATGACACATGCCTCTCAGGGCAGCTGAACCACCTAACGCCCTGGCTCCCCACAGACAGACAGAGAAAAGTATGTATCGTTTTAGTCCCGCCGAAGGATAGATAACGAGCCCTCCCCTTCTTCCTGCAGGGCCCGTCATGGAGTTCGATTATGCCATCTGTGAGGAATGTGGGAAAGAGTTCATGGACTCGTACCTTATGAGCCACTTCGATTTCCCAACATGCGATAGCTGCAGGTATTTGTTTTTGTGGTGCTGAACCACGCCCGCAGCACGGCCTTAGAGCTCTGCAGGCTAGCATTGCCTTTGCCGGCTTCCTGCCTCAGCCCTCCTGCCTCAGCCCTCCGAGTGACGATCTCCTGCCTGGTCTCTGCCCCCACATTTCCCACCTTGCACCTCTTGATTCTCGTCTCTCTAGAGCAGCGGTTCTCAGCTTGTGGGTCACGACCCCTTTGAGGGTCAAATGATCCTTTTACAGGGGTCGCCTAAAACCATTGGAAAACACAGATATTTACATTAAGATTCATAACAGTAACAAAATTACAGTTATGAAGTAGCAATGAAAGTAATTTTATGGCTGGGGTCACCACAACATGAGGAAACTATTGTGGGGTTACAGTGTTAGGAAGGTTGAGAACCACTACTCTAGAGAATTTTGCTCCAAACTGTTAAAATGGTTTTTGACTCCATTTAGAACAAACATGTCTTCACCATGGCTACAGCTGCCTCCTACTACCTCTTCCCACTGCTCGCCATCACTTACTGTGTGCGTGTGTGTGTGCGCATGTGTGCATGCATGTGTATGTGTGTGTGTGCACGCCGTCCATCCTGCCCAGCAGCTTCTGTGAGCATGGTTCTGTGCTTGAGAGCTTTTTTTTCCTGCCCAGTTCATGGGCATAAACTCTGTGGTTCTTCACGTTCCCACTCTGCCGCTGTTCTTACCTTGGTTTCTGAGCCACTGGAACCCAGCCGTGTAGGAGGTGGGATCTGTGTGTTTACATTTGTTTCTTACCATCTTTTAGAGGCAGATCTGTGTACCCCAGGTTGGCCTTGAACTTCAAATCCTCTTTCCTAGCCTAGTGCTGGGGTGATAGCCATGACCTCGTGATTCAATTTCTAGTTCCTTTCTCACGGGTCCTCTCTTTTCATCATATCTTCCCTTTCTTACTTCAAGTCCCTTCTGGAATAAGAGGAACTTTAAGAAGATTCTTAAATTGTTATATGCCCAGAGTCTGCCTGAGTTTTTATGGCTCTGATCATGAGAACCAAAGGCAGGGAAGTGACGTTTGCGTCTTTGGGTGTGGAGACCTGTGGTTGCTGGGCTGTCTGAAAACTCAGTCGAATTAAAGTCGTTTACATAATGCTCTTAATCTCTTTCCAGAGATGCTGATGATAAACACAAGCTTATAACCAAAACAGAAGCCAAGCAGGAATACCTTCTGAAAGACTGCGATTTAGAGAAGAGAGAACCCGCGCTTAGGTTCATCGTGAAGAAGAACCCTCGTCACTCACAGTGGGGTGATATGAAGCTCTACCTAAAGTTACAGGTCTCTAGTAGGCTGGACCTGGGGTGTCCAACCATGGGTGAACTTCCAGCAGGCTGACTAGTTATTACTGACCGAGGCTGGCTCAGTAAAGACCACCTCTTCTCGGTTCACACGTCTGTCCTGGTCACAGTTCAGAACACAGTGCCTTCTCACCTCCCTTTCGCTGTGGTAACTTTGCCATAGCCATGTTGCTAGTGGGTGATGTTCGGAGTATAACTTGGACATAGAAAAGGTCAGACCTCATTTGCCTATCAGTCTTCTTTTACCAAACAAAAGAAAGGCTCTCAAGATGATTGGCGTTTCAGTTATTTCATAGATGCCCGAACCAGATGAATGGCACTGGGAAATACAATCTGGGATGCTCCTGAGTGCTGTGACTTGCACAGCTCAGAGCAGCTCTCAGTGCCTGCTCTGAGCAGATCACACATGTGCCACGGCAGAGCCCCACTTACTGGGGTGCTCTAGTGCCCAGCCTGGTGCCTGAAGCCCCAAGTATCCTCCTGTATCCACTACAGGATGGCTTAAATATTTTAATGTTTGTTCTAGTATATGAAAATATGGAGAGGCATTGCTTTAGAGATGTTTATACAGAAATATAATAGGATTATTATTCTAGTATTATTAGATAATTATATATTTACATATAATTTTATATCTAGATTTATTATATATTTAATCATATTTAAATATATTAGATATAAATATACAATATGTTTAGTATAATTAGATAATTAGATATTATATCGTCTATAAGTAGAATTAAGCCACATTGCAAAATAACATGTACTGAATTTCATTAAATATGATTATTGATTTAAAAATTCACCATTTATCTTATGTACCATTCAAAATAAGTAAAAATGATGCTAATTAAAGCAGCCCAGGTTTCCTCATCATTTGATGCTTTGTGCTTAATAAAAGTGCCGGTAGGCCTTATTTCAGTGTCATGCACCATGATCTTGCACACAAGCAGGAAAACAGGACTTTCATGGCACTTCCTGCCCCTCGTGACCTCATGATTGGATCTTACATTTTCTTTCTCATTGAGTCTTCTTCATTTATGTTTCTGTACTCCTTATTTCAACTCTTTCTGGGACAAGTGGGACTTCAAGGGACTTCTTCAGCTGTGAAATGGTTTTGCTCCTCATGTGACATAATGGTATCTGTGAGGTTGATAGTTAGGGCTTCATGCCGTGCAACTCTGAGTCCCGAGTAACTGAAGTATTAACTGTGCTGTAGGTTGTCAAGCGGGCTCTTGAAGTTTGGGGTAGCCAGGAAGCACTGGAAGATGCAAAGGAAGTGAGGCAGGAAAACCGAGAGAAAATGAAGCAGAAGAAGTTTGATAAGAAAGTCAAAGGTAGGTGGTGGAATTTCCTGTCACTCGGTTCACTGAAGAGCAAAGGCATTGCGGCCTTCCTGTGTGGAGGAGGTGCTGGGGTGTCTTTTCCACAGGGGAGAACTTTGGCCTCAGTGGGTTGGTGTGTGAGGCTTGGCTCAGACCTCAGAGTACTACATTTCTGAAGGCCATCGTCTCCCCGGGAGTCATTTTTGTGCAGCTGTGTGGCGGGATGGGGCATCAGTCAGGTCTTAAGTGTGGCCTGCAGGGTTTAAGAAACAGTAACAAAAAGTAACAAGACTCTCAGTAGCCACCTCCCTTGTTGCTTGAAACAAAACGGTCCTCAGATTAGTAGCTGGAAGGACTGATGGATGTTAGTTAGTCTGAGTGTCTTTATTTAAACATAACTAAGGAAATACCCAGAAAGATGATTGGATTGTTATATATGGTGGGACAGTTGTCAGGTTCTCTTACCGAGTCTTCTTCATGTGTACAGTCATTCCTGCATCTGTGCATCTGGCTCCATGCAGCATTCCTCTCCCTGGTGGCTCTGTCTCTGCATCCATTACCCATGTTTGTACCCAAGTGTGCGTGTTTTCATCAGTCTGTCCATCCATGCACACATCTAGTATTTACCATGTTCCAAGCACTCTGCTAACCGAGATGCTGGATTGAGTGTCAGGAAAGAAACTAGAGATAGTAATAGAGTATGTGGGTATGGTGCCACACCAGGGATGAACCCAGGGTGTGACAGGAGCATTCAGGGCTGTAAACACAACTCCAGAAAAATGTCTTCAAGAAGTAACCAGCTTGTATCCTTCATGTGGTCGCTATGTAGAGTCCCAGTGTGCACACTGTGTTCAGGTAACATGATCCTACACATAGGTTGGGTTATATATTACTAGATCCATTTCAAATCAGTATTCTAGCCATGTTAGTTTTTCTTGTAATTTTAAAATTTAGAAGAGGTTTTACAGGGTGAATGGGATAGCCCAAATGTCTTAAAAACAAAGAAAGCGGAGTGGTGGTACATGTCTGTAATCCTAGTACTCAGGAGGCTGAGGCAGGAGGATCGTGCATTGGAGAGCAGCATGGGCTATAGAGTGAGTCCTTGGCTCAGAAAACAAACCCAAAACCTGCCCCCGCCCCCCCCCCCCATCAACTAAACAGTAACAAAAAGTCAACCAATCAACTAACTAACCAACCAAGTGAAAAGACCGAACAAAAAGCAAAAACAAGGCAATCCAAGCCTTCATGGTTTCCTTTTGGGGTTGCCCTTACTCCCCCAGTTTTCATTATGTTGGAGAAATGAAGTCCTGCTCCGTGATTCTACCCCTTTTCCATGCGCAGGCTCTTACACAGTTTGAAATAAAAATAGTAGCACTGTTGAACACTAGTAGTCTATCGAGACAGCCTTACCGAAACCCTTTTGCCAAGTGACATAATTCCTGAGCAGATAGGAACCCATTTGTAGGCTTCTCTGGGGTTTCCTGTAGCAAATGCCATAGAAAAGCATTTCATTGACGTTCCCCAAGCCAGCCAGAGCTGTGCCCCAGCCGTCAGATGCCAGCGACTCCTCTTAAAGGGGCCTTTCTCTAGTCTTTCCTAATGTTGTGCACTGGCCTCTCTGACAGCAGAGCAGCTGCTAATAAGACAGAGCAGTGAAGAGGTGTACTAAGGAAGGTGTGTGGAAGGAGACCTCCAGGTTGGTTATCTGCTAGCTCGGTGTGTGTGTATATGCACATGTGCATGCAGTACCTGTGTGCTGTGCACACGTCAGTGTATGTGCATTTGGAAGCTAGAGGCCCTTACTGCCTCTGTGATAGGGTCTCTTCACTGACCCTAAAGCTGGCATTGTCTGGCTGGCCAGTGAGCGCCAGGATCCAGGATCCACCAGTCCTGTACACCTCTCCCACCCACAGTGGTTATAGCCAGCTGTGCTCCACTTCACTTTTTAAAATGTGCTGCTCGGGAGTTCAAACTCAGTTTCTCATCCTGGCTCTCTTACACCGAGCTGGTGGATTCTTCTGGGATCGCTGTAGTCCAAGCTTTCTCCCCAGCCCCCAGCTACCAGAAATTAACCTGATCCTTCAAACCTCAGACGATACTTCGGTGCAGACAATGAAATGTGGATAAGAGAATACCAGTTAGAAATTTGTATCTGTAAAGTGATGAAGAGTGGTACCTGTAACTTTTCCTTACACACTAATTCTGTGGTCTGGTCAAGATATCATGTAATGGTCACTAAATTCCTACAGTTTGACCAGCAAAAGACTTTGAGATGCACTTAATTTCTTGCCTTTTTAATATAATGATTCGATTAGGATATGCATATATATTTATTTTTTCTTTTTCTTTTTTTTTTTCTTCTGATGCATGTGACTAATCTGGTGACTGACTGTGCCAGGAAGTTCACAGCCAGTGAATAAGGTCAAGGATATGCATATATATTAATACAGATAGAAAATTTCTACAATTTCCAAAACTTGAACTTAATTGGTATTTACTTTTTGGTCACTGTATTAGCTCACCAAACTACCATGGGTTTTCCTTATTCCTTAGTGCAGTTGACACAGAATTCTTTTAAAGGATTTATTTCTTGTTTGGGTGAAGCATGTTTTATAATGAAGCGTTTGCATGAGTGTGTACCCTCTACGGGTCTACAGATAAAAGAGTGCCTGCATTTCCTCCTTTGCATATGACTGAGCTCTGTGTCACCCCTCCCCTGGGGTGTTTGGTGTGCTGAGGCCAGTGTGCTGCCTTCTTTAACTGTGGCTTCTTGTCGATTCACTCTAGCGCTTGGTGGATGTGTTCCTGTCCTGACTAGGCCACAGAGGGCTGAGTGGAGTAGACGGTAGAGTAGACTCGAGGAGCTGATTGTGCAGTTTGCTCAGAACAGAGAGGAGTCAAAGCAAGTCTAAAGGCTTTTTAGTTGGAAAGAAATTGGAACATGGTTCCTCTTGATGCACAGTGAAGCTGACGCAAAGCTTTCTTCTTATGGGAAGGTAAGCAATTCCATCTGCCTGCTTTTAACATGTGGTTTATGTTAGCAGTTACAGCACTGAGTTTGCTACAGAGAAAGTGTGACTACCATCAGTTCATACGGACAAGTTCCACATCTCCAAGGCAGAGCCACACGCAGGCCTGCTGCTGCTCAGGGTAACTGGGCCTTGAAGGACGCATCACCTAGTAGCAGACGTGAACCCTGAGTTGGTGGGATACACAGAATGTTTTTGGTCTGCATACTTTCTTGTCTTAACTAAGGTGGGACTATGGGTGTTTCGTTTGTGTTACATGCTTAGTTCTAGCAATTTCTCTCCTGAAAGGCTAGTCAGCTAACCTTCATTGTTACTATCCATTGCTTCCACCCCTGCAAGGGGCAGGTAAGGACATCCTGTTTAGAGGTCCCTTCTGGGTTTGGGGGCACTGCACACTGGCCAGTGGATATATTTATGACTGTTGTGGAGCTTGAGGAGTTTGAGGAGTAGAATTCCAACCTACTTAGTTCATGGAACACCAACTTGTAATCTTTATCCTCCAGATAACAAGGGTACCTGCTCTCCCGCCCAGCATGTTGGAAGCTAGCTCTTCTGTACGTTTACCTCAGAAGTAGCACTGGTTTCCTTGACTGCAGACAATCTCTTTTTCAAAATGTAGTTACGAAAAATAAGCTTTGAAGTAGTATTGATTTTTTTTCACCACAACAAGCATTTTGGGAAAATCCCTTTGGGTGACCATTCTAAGCAATTTCTGAGGCTCTCAGTAGCAAGACTGGTTATGCATTTCCAGGAGAGGTAGTCTTTGGGCATCAGCCATCTACTGCCGACTAAGCGGCTGCAACACGGCAAGCCACTCACCAGGTTCTCCAGGCTTGCATGGGCTCCAGTTTTGTACAGTGTATGTACCCTGGTTTCATTCCCGAGGTGTGTTAGACCTGCCCCTGCTTCTGTGTACTCTCACCTTTGTATCTCAAGAGTCAACAAAAGATAGTTGATTGCGTCTTTCATGAGGGTTGTGAAACCTACAAACTGTCCCTTATGAAAGGTTTTGGGGGGCCAATGAAATGGCTCAGTGGGTAAATTGCTTGCTGCCAATCGTAATAACCTGAGTTTGGTTCCCAGACCTGTTTGGTGAAAGAAGAGAACTCACTCTTGCCAAGTTGCTGTCTGACCTCTACACATGTACAACATTGTGGCAGGGCAAACACACACGTGCGTGCACACATGCGCACACGTGTATACACACACACACACACACACACACACACACACGTGTATACACACACACACACACACACACACACACACACACACACACACACTATTTTTCCAAGTATTGACATTTGGCCATTTCTAACCTTTTGCACTCAAATACACTTGGCTAAGCCGTGAGTACCTGTATACATTGTGATTCTTACAAATCTCTGTGACTAAGCTCATCATATTCAAGAAACTTAAAAAGCAATTATGTTGTTCCAGTGACCCCTCTCTGTTAGACCCAGGAGCCACTGGGGTGCCACCTTTAATGTCACCCTCAGCCATTCTCTTTTGCCCCTGGGCACTTTGCAGCACCCAGACCAACTATGGGACAGCACACTCCTGCCCATGGACTGCTCAGCCTCTTGTTTTTGCTAAATTAGATTCAAGCTGAATGTGTGTGGGAGGAATACTCCCTAGGAGATAAAGGACACCATTTGTAGAGGGAGGTGACAGTCATCATTCTCCACTAAACTACTTTCTTTGTAATTATCACACGACACTGTGGATGCACCACCATTTTACTGAGTAGTTTTGGTATACAGAGGTGATTCTTAGCTGAAGCAGTTTCTGTGTGTGCGCGCATTATAGAGACTGTTTTCTTTTGAAACAGGGCTTTTCCTTGGGCTCTACTCTTGTTTTCTTGAGACAGGGTTCATGTAGCCTAGAGTGGACTTGAACTTGTAGCAACCCTCCTGCTTCTGCCTTCCAAGTGCTGGGATTACAGATAACCATCACCAGGCCTGTTTTGTTTTGAGATAGGAACTCTTCTTTGTAGCTCTGGCTGACCTGGAACTTGCTATGTAGATCAGGCTGGCCTTCAACTCAGAGATCCACCTGCCTCTGCCTGCCCCAGTGCTGAGACTAAAGGCATGGGCTGCTCTGCTTGGCCTCGGTTTTGTTCTGTAAAGCATCGTTTGGACTGACGTGTGGGTTCTTCTCAAATCACGACGGTGCAGGCTTCTCCTGTCACTCTTCATTTGGATGCTCAAATCGTCTCGGGTTTGGCTGGCGGCGTCTCCTTTAAGCTGGCTCCTGTCTCTTCCTAAAGCCGTTTTTATGTGGAAAGAATTTCAGACTCGCAGAAAATTGCTGGACTAATGGACAGAGGACCACACACATACACGCCTTCCCCAGACTGAACTGTTCTCATGTTGCCATCTGCATCATGTGTGTGCTCTCACTGAAAACACTTTTCTGGACCACTTAAGGGTATGTTACATAATCACTACCCATATGTGTTTAGTTTCCTAACACATTGTTTTCACCAGTGTGACATTAGCAAATTTAGTATTTAGTGGATTTTAATCTAAACTGCTATGTCCTGCTTCTGCTTACTAACTGAGCAAGTGTTCCCTTCCTAGAGTGAATCTGGTGTAGGCTAATGTTTTAGGCATTGAACAGGTCTTCCTAACCTGTTCCGATTTTCACTACCCTTGCCTTTTACGCCACGGACATTGTTGCAGTTTGTTCCCTTCCACAGTTTTGGGAAGTAAGGGTTTTCACTTTTGTGGATTTTCTGGTAATGGAGTATCTTGAGCAGGTGCTAACTTTCCCAGAGCCTTACATCTGGAAGATACACAGTCCCCATCTGCTCTCAGTGGTAATAATTTGGCTTTTACCTAGTAAACAAAAGGAAATAGAGTATGCAAATAACCGCCCTTCCCAGCTCCAATTCAGCGGCTGTCCAGGGTGGACAGCTGGAGCCAGAGCTACTGTGATGGTTCAGAGAACAGCACTCTTAGCGCCAGCCAGCAGTCTGTAGCGTTAGGACCTAGTTTTCCAGCGCTGTCTGTTCATTTGTCTTTAATTTGGAGCTCAGATTTGGTCCACTGGAGACTTTATCATTTATGGGCTGCCGTTTATGCCCTTGACAAGCTGAACATGCACAAAGCATATATGTCTTTCCTTGTGTACAAAAAACCCCCGAATGCATGCTCATATATTCCATTTTAATCCTCCAAATTTCAGGATTCATTCTATGCAGGGAGGGACCTAAGAACCTGGATGCTTAATAGTAAGGAAGTGGTACATTTTCCATCACTCTACTTCCTGTCCTGGTGGCACCCTAGCCCTGTGCCTGCCTGCTCTACTTCTGCATGCCTGTCCTTAGGCTTTGGACGTCTTGTTTGGGAAAGAGAAGGGCAAAGAAAACCCAAACTTAACAGTATAGCACCTTCGACATCTCTAATCTGAAAATCTGAAATACTGCCAACAAGGAAACCCCATGTCCAGACACTAGAAACATATAAGGTACATCAAGCTGTGTTTTGTAAAGACTCCATCAGTAAGACATGTTCTGTATATGCAAGTACTTCAAAATCTAAGAATATCCATTAATGGCTTGCAAGAGTTTTGGATACGTGATACCCAGCCCATGCTTCCCTTCTACCAGGATGTCTACGGGAAGCTCTACAGATCCAGCGTCATTTGTGTCAGTGAACAGCTTCACAGACTTAACAAGATCGAGAAAAAAATGTCAGTCTTCAGTCGTGACTGGAAAGCTAGGTGTTTTATGTATGTAGCATGTACGAGAAGAAAATAATTCTTCTTACCTCTTCCCCAAGTACATATAATATTCAAATCTGGCAGATAAGCTAGCTTAGTCTGATTTTGAGGGATTTTCAGAGTGAGGAGATCAAGGAGAGAGGCAGGACATCTTCCCCAGCCAAGCTGGGAAGCAGGAGCCTACACAGGAGACGCCTGTTGCCCCTCTGCAGTCAGGAGGGACACTGACTCCCCCAGGTAGCAGCCAGCTTTGCATACACTTAAGCCGGGGCTCTTCATGTATGAATGACCACGATTTGAGTCTGGGTGACTGGCCTTGTAGCAGATGATGCTACACTGAACCCTGTAAGCCTCAGAGTGGTGAGAAAGGCAGCATGACCCAGTGAAGATGCTGCCCAGGGCCAGCAAGACTGCAGGGGACCTAAGCTGGACTGCACCTCTGCCTCTGTTTACCCATCTGTAAAACACTGGGATGACAGCTGCGTGCTGTCACACAAAAGGATACAAAGGAAATACATCTTAAGTGCTTAGCCCAGTGTCTAGTATATCACCCTGTCTTGCTTTTATCCATGTTATGGCTGGAAACGGATTCAAGTAGTGCTTTGATATTAGTTACAAAATGTCTCAAGGAAAATGTGCAACCCCCAGACTCTGAAGTTATTGGCTGTGAGCCAGTTGACATGGGTGCTAGGAAGCAATCTCAAGCCCTCTGGAAGAGCAGTATGAGCTCCTAACCACTGGGCCGTCTCTCCAGCACCTGGCAGTTTATATTTTGTTGGTTTTGCTTTTCTCAAGACAGGATTTCTCTATGTAGCTTTGGAGCCTGTCCTGGAACTTGCTCTGTAGGTCAGGCTGGCCTAAAAATCAAAGATTTGCCTCCCTCTGCCTCCTGAGTGCTGGGATTAAAGGCCTGTGCCACTGCCCAGTGTGCCACTGCCCAGCCTGACAGGACTTTTTAAAAACAATGGTTTTGGTGTAGAAATGTAGCTCGAGCTCAACTGACAGATTAGCATGCCCAAAGCCAGGGCCTGATCGCCAGCACCACATAAATCAGATGTGGTTCTCGGGAGTGAAGGCAGGAGTGGCTGTGGGCTAAAGAGAGACTTTGAGCAGTCTGGACCTACATGAGACTGTCTTAACAAAACAAAAAAGCTAAAACAATGCTGTCATTTTATAAGCAGTTTTTCTGAGACAGAGACACATCAGCATACATTAATAGTCTTGGCTTTCTGGTATGCAGAACTTGACTGACAGGAGTTCCTGACTGAAAACCTTGGGATTCGAGCTATTCCCATTCTTTGCTTACCTCAGCTGACATTGCAGCTCTGGCATCCTCTTCCGTCCCCCAAACACACCCCATTCTGTTGTTTCTTGTTGCTACACTTCTAACCAACCCACACAGCCACTTCTGTCAGTTCATACTGCTTGATAATGAAGAGAGCAATTGCAGACTGAGCAGGCTTGCCACGTTGTGTAACCAACACAAAGAGCTAAAGGAAACCATTTTACACATCACATACACAAATACCAATGAAAGCCTCATTAAATTTATTTTGTATTCAGCTGAAAAACTTTTCTTTCCCCTTAGAACTGCGACGAGCAGTAAGAAGCAGTGTGTGGAAAAGAGAAACAGCCGCTCACCAACATGAGTATGGACCAGAGGAAAGCTTAGAAGATGACATGTTCCGCAAGACTTGTACCTTGTGTGGCCACGAGCTGACGTATGAAAAAATGTGACTTTTAAAAACATTTATATTTCAATAAAGGCTCTCTTTAGATGCACCACAGTGTAATCTTTTTAGAAATGTTTTTTAGTTAGAGACGGAGACCCCCATTGGAGCACTGGACTGAGCCCCCAAGGTCCAAATGAAGAGCAGAAGGAAGGAGAACATGAAAAAGGAAGTCAGGACTGCAAAGGGTGCATTCACCCACTGATACAACGGGACTGATCGAATGAGAGCGCACCAAGGCCAGCTGGACTGGGACTGAACGAGCATGTGATCAAACCGGATTCTCTGAATGTGACTGAAATGGGGGCTGACTGAGAAGCCATTGACAATGGCACTGGGTCTTGATTCGTTTGCATGGACTGGCTTTTCGGGATCCTGGTCTGTTTGGATGCTCACCTTCCTGGACCTGGAGGGAGGGGGGAGGAACTTGGATTTCCCACAGGGCAGGAAACCCTGACTGCTCTTGGGAATGGGGAGGGAGGAGGAGAGGGAGTGGGGGGAGTGGGAGCGGGAGGGTATTGGGAGGAGGGGAGGAAGTGGAAATTCTTTAAATAAATAAGGAAAAAAAAAAAAGAAATGTTTTTTAGAAAAACCCTCATGTGATGGATATGCTTAAAGAAAAATGGTCCACAGGTACACATACATGCACACACCTCCATGTGCCCCTTTCCTTTGCACACATAAGTAAAAATCAAAGTGACAAGTTAGAGCTACTCCATGGGGAACAAGGGACATAGTAAATTATAGCCTGGCATAGGAGGAAGCACTTTCAGGGTGAGGTTAATGGAACTGAACTTAGCTCAGGGAGAGCAACAAGTGTGATGTGAACTGCTGTGAAGTCTTCAGCGATGGCAACAATGAGATACCCACAGAAACTGCACCCTGTCACAGGTGCCCAAGGCCCCGTTCTTCAGGATCTTCACGCAGCAATTTGGAAGTGATAGATCAAAAGGGAACAAGGCTATTTTCAAAGTTGAGTATCAAGACTATTTCATCAAAAGCATTACACTAACACTTGAGTACTCTTATCTGCCTTACGAGTTCTCATCTAATGCTAACAACTTGCTTCCATGCTTGTTTAAACTTCTGAGGTCGGAAGTGACAGTTCAAATATTATTTCTCCATAGCCATTTGTATCAATTCAGCTAGCCAGATTTTTCTTCAGTCTTATTAAAGGTATTATCAAAAAGTACCATTAAAAACAACTATCAGAAGCAACCATTATATGTGAAAAAGAAATCAAGAGAGCAGGCAGTGGTGGCACACACCTTTAACCCCAGCACTCTGGAAGCAGAGGCTGGCAGATCTCTGAGTTCAAGGTCAGCGTGACCTTGTAGAGTGAGTTCCAGGAGAGCCAGACAGGGCTACACAGAGATCAAAGAACCAAAAAACAAAAACAAAAGAAAAGAATACACGCAGATTTCTCTAGAATGTAGCTCAGGTAGAACTGAGGTCAAAGCTGCCCTGAGAACAGAAGCCACTCCTAACTAACAGCATGTGCTGTGCCTAAGCATCAGGAAGGAGGCCTACTCTAAGAATCATTTAGCCAAGGGCTATGCATCATTTTGACAGACACCCAAGTTGAGATAAAGTGGGTGTTTTCATCCCTCAGTGCTAGGAAGCCTGTACAGCTCACTCTAGTTCAGCAGCTGCACTTGTAGAAAGTCAGCCCAAATAACGTGGGACCATCATTACTAACTGTACTTTAGAAACAGTAGGGACATTCTGTGTGTTTCTCATGGCTGGCATGTTATATGTGCTATGCTAAATGTTACACCTCAGTAAAAACTGGTCTTGGACGGGCAGCCAAACTTTCTTGTAGAGAGGTTTCTAGCCTGACGACAGGAGTAACTTGGAGTTCTGGCCGCTGTTAAGTATCACTGCATTGTGGGGAGCTAAGGTGCTCCGAGACACATAGATTTAACTTCCTGGCTGTGGATTTTAGACAAGTTTTCCTGGGGTTTGCTTCTGTCTGTGAAGTGGACACAGTCATCTTTCAGGAATCTGTTGGAAAGATTCAATATGGTGAACCTTGTAACCAGCCTGTAGCAGCCAACAGTTAATGAACGCTCATTGTTCATCAAAACTGCTGATGAACAAAAAAGGCCAACCCAGTGCGATCTGATTGGCTATATGATCTGTTCTCTGGCTGTACCAAGGCTAATCCTGGGGTCCAGATATTACTGGTAGCTCAGGTTGGTAAAGGTTTCTCACACCGTAAACTTTTAGGAATGATACAGTTCTTAGGGAACCAGCATCTCTACCTTGATAAGAGCCTGCTAAAGAGAATCAGCATGACGTCACAGAATGAGGCGTGGCATGCAGTGACACCACCTGTCTTTGGGAGCACCACCCGAAGGGAGTAGCTGCTCTCTGTTTTTGCATCTTCTGTAAAATACAACAGATGTCGGTGTTCCAGCCGACAGCTCAGGACAGAGCAGGGGCATATTAACAGTTTCTAGAGGGAAGGAGAGCACAAACTTGTAGGTGTAGCACGAGGATAACTGAACTCCACTATGCCTCAGGAAAGGATACAGTTACCAATGCCTTCAATAGTTGGACCACGGTCATTTCAAATCAGTTACAGCTTGAGCTGTGTTAAATGGAAAGGAGGAACAGTGTAAACAGGGTATTTAACCAGGAACCCAGGTTTTATCTTTCTGAAGTTCTTGCCTTCTAACCTTGATCTACTGAATTCAAATGATTAGATGATACTCCTGCTTTAAATGTGTTATTTAAAAAGCCTAGGAATTCCCACGTAATAAGACATAGAATTCTATAGTCACTGAATGTATGGTAATTCAAGACCCATATATCCAAAAAGACAATTGTAATGTATTCTTACTAGAATATAACATGTGCAAAAATAACAAATACACAAAATTACTACCAGTAATTATATCATTATTAGCAGATTTTTCTAAGGTTTAATGAGAAGTTTAAAAATCCCAGAAATTTGGAATGTTAGGTAATGCATTATCTTACAAAACACTCATTTCACTTAGGCTTCAGTAGGCGCAGGGAACAATTATCTGCCTCAGAACCCAGAGACAAGCCCCAAGCCACACTGAATTCCAAGTCCATCTCAGCTCATTTATCGCTTGCTGCACATCAGTTTGTGACATTATGGGATCTTGGACAAATTCTTCTTGGAGGGCAGGGCTGCCAAATTTGCAATCACCGGAGAGGCAGAAAAACTGCTGCCATCGCCATTGTAGGTAGTGATATTTTCTTTGTATTTTTAATAAATAAAGCTTGCCTGAAGTTCAGAGAGTAAAACAACCGCACCTACCAGCCTTACAGACCAGGCAGTGGTGACACACACTAGTAGCCACGCTAGTTTGCCACAGAAACCTGGTGGTAGTGGCGCACGCCTTTAATCCCAGCCCTAGAGAGGAATATAAGAAGGGAGGAGACAGCTCTCAGTCTCATTCTGAGATTCCTGGAGGCAGGATCGCCATTTCAGACTGAGGGAGAGGTAAAAGCTAGGGGCTGGCTGTTCTGCTTTTCTGACCTTCAGACTGAACCCCAATTTCTGTCTCTGGGTCTTTATTATTCATGCTACAATTGTACCTCGAGATCACTAGAAACCGGGTGGCTTCTAGTTCGGCAAATTTGATGATTAGTAATAATAATGTTTTATTCTAACAAGTAGTGTCATAAGATGGCTACTCAAAAACATTTGCAAGAAAGCTTCAGATAAAGGCTAAGTACACCTCTAGTAAGAAAAGAGACTAAGATAATAAATCATGAAATACCAAAGTTTAAAAAACAGAACTTAGGTTTATTCCAGCCATGTTGCTCAGGAGCAGAGAAAAGTTAGGCTCCCTGGTGGTTCCGTTGGTTGTATTCACTAATTTGCAAGCCTGACCTTGCATTGCACACACCTCAACCCTGTTGTTTTGTGCCCAAGGAGAAGTATCAAATTCATCACAGGAAAGCTGTGTCTCACATATATACAACGTTACGGTCATCATAACATCGCTGTCATCAAGCAACACTTGCCCTTCAGGGCAACTAAGGGAAATGTCATACTCTGGGCTCTCCTCCCGTTTCCTTTAGGAAGTGAAAGGCTACTACAAGAAAGCAAACATTCAAACCATCAAAAAATAAGACAAATTATTCCAAGATAACAAAAAGGGAAGAAACATGACTATTAGGCCTGTAGAGCACAGAACTGCTGGAACACAGCCAGGATGTGAGGGTCTAGCTCGGCAGTGAAAAGCAGGTTCTCCAGGGTCACCATGTACTGCTGGATTATCTGGTGATGCTGTGAACACAGAAAAGAGCCCTGGGTCAGGAAACCAAATGCAAGCAACATTGCAGACTGTTTCCCTCACAGCCCACCCATGCCGAGGAGGGACACAAAATAGGGCGCACATCTCCAGAGAAGATTTGAGAGAGCAGGCAGGGAAAGAAGCAGAGGGATGTACAATGACGTAAAACCAAATCCAGTTTTCACAGCCTTCCTATGGGATCCTTGATGCACAGCACGGCAGGAAGCCGCAGTTTCAGAGGGCATCCCGAGAGCCAGGACACAATATATTACAGCTTTCTGAAAAGCAGCCTGACTAGGGAGCCAAGGCATCAAAGAATGAGAACCTTGTCTCTGAAGAGTAAAATGCACTCAAAAATTTCTATAGGACTAGGGGCTCTCGGTTACCTTTTGAACTGGCTAGTCACTACAAATGCCTGGGAGAGAATTACTATTTGGAGGCTTAAAGAATAGAACTTTAGAATGATTACTTTAGAACTGGTCACTCTCCTAGAACAGGGAGAACTTAGGGAGTTTATGCCTTGAAGAGGAAAAGATGAAGCTCACGCTCCTACACATCAATATCTGGAAGCAGGTGCTGGTACTCTATGTCCAGAGACCCCAGGGGTTTACCTTGCTCCTGTGGACATGTTTATTATGGGAATTTAAGATGTTAAAATACCTTTATGAATCTAATCCCCCCCTTACACTTTAGATTACAGCTATGCTGGGCTCACAACCACAGAAAATGGCAACCCAGAGTGTGAGTGATATAAAACCAATTGTCTAAATATTCT